ATCCCTGGTACCAAAATAAACAAATTAATTAATTAGGGCAGTGTACTATATCTTGCAGAAGAATTTCAAGACAGTCTAATGTTAGGGCAGTTGCATGGCTACTGCTGGGGGCTTTTAGCCAGAATTATGTTGAGAATCAAAAGCTAAGGGCTCAACAGAATGATTTAAAACATTTTGAGTTTGGCCAGTTAGGAAGTTCCAGTGAAGTTGTGGTCTGCAAAGATAGAGCTGAGGAGCTCTCGACTGCTGAGAAGGAATGGGCAAATAGAAAAGGCCTGAGGGCATCACAAAAAGCAGCAGGACTCTATCCTTTGTGGCACTCAAACCTGCAAAGAAGAAAGACTTTGCTTTGAGAAGAAAGCAAAAGAGCACCACGTTCCAGAATGGTGGCAGCCTGGGGAAATTGTTTCTCAGGATTTGGTTTACAGGCATTGGACCCCTATAGCCAAGAAGGAAGCCTGGCTACTGCTCCAGCTGGCAGCAGACCTTGGTGTCACCCACATGGTGCTGGTTTTAGGCACAGGCACAAATGCAAGAGTTGTGGGGTCAGGAAAATTTTCACTCAAATTTCAGAAGGTCTGACAGGCCAAGCAGTGTAAGAGAGCAGTATGTGAAGCTGTGAGTGTGAAGCCAGTGGAGACCCCAGGAGTTTGGAGAAGCCAGGAACATGGATCATCTGAGTAAAATTGGAAGGGGGGAATAGAGCCGGCCCAAGAGAGAAGCCATAGCATCTACAACCACCGGCAGCACCTTAGGGGAAGCGCCATTCAAGCCCTTCAGAGTTCATAACTTGCCACATCACCAGGGATGCTAGAAATGGAACTGTGGGATTTAATGTTTGCCCTAGTACATTTTGGTCTTGCTTTACCACCCTTCACTGCTATTCCCGCTTGTAATCTTTGCAATGAAAATGTCTTATCTTATACCATTGTATGTTGTAAGTATTTAACTTTCTTTTCATTTGTACAGGGGCTTATAGCTAAGAGTTTGCCTTAAATCTCAGAGGATACAGGACTGGTTAGACTTTTCAGCAATGATGAAACTGTTAGGACTTTGGCAATTTTTAGAGATGGACTAAATGCCTTTTGCATAAATGGATGTGCATGAGTCTTTGGGGTCCAAGGTGGAATGTTATAGTTTATGTCTAGATGTCCCCCACAAAGCCTCATATGGTCATGGGGTATTTCAGAGGTGGCTGAATCTAGAGCGTGTGACGCTGGGATTAAGGGTGTGTGATTAATAAATCAGTCCGCACCACCCTAAGTCTGGATAAAAGGGTCAGAAGGACACTATTAAGGTCCCTTGCTGCTTTGCTACCATAGGAGTGCCATGAACTGTTGCCCCCTCTGCCATGTTCCACCCTGCCTTACAGCCTGTGAGCTAAATAAACCTTTCCCCTTTTAACTTTGGGTGTTGAGTATTGTCTCAGTAATGAGAAAATTAAGACAACAGGGTTTCATTTTCTTTTCCAGGGATCAAACTCAGGACCTTGCACTTGGCAAGGCAGGCATGGTGCCACTGAGCTAAATCCCCAGCCCTGGATTTCATTTTCTTTTTGGGCTCCTAATGATTGTTTCTAAGTGGAAAATGATGAAAACTACATAGTCCTTACAGAACCTAATTTAAACAAACTACTGAGTACTCAGATATAAATACACACAAAAAACCCTCTGCAGGTGTGAATTATAATTACACTAAAACTCAGATCAGATTTCAATGGAAAGTGATTGAACCATCATTAATAAAAGCAGTAGCTGGAATTTATAGAAAATTTGGTAGACACTTTTCTCAATGTTTCAATAAACTTTCAAAAATGAAGTCTCCATCAGTTAAACTTCCATATATGGCATAAATGATCATTAGTATCTCTATTAATATCTCAAATTTGTATATTTTTCATAATTTTGTTTGATGTAACACTGTCTGGCATTAGGAAAAAAATGTGAATAACATTACTTCAAATCTGATAATATCCACAACAGAGAAATTCAATGGGCTACTAAAGTCATATACATATATAAGTCATATACTACTAAAGTCATATATATATATAAGTCATATACTGAAGTCATATAAAGCAGTGGCAGAACCTAAGTTCAGGAATTCTCAGTCATACCACTGTTGCTCAAACTTTAATCATTCATGTATTGATATCATAATTACTTCTCTATTCACATGGTTATTATTTAATACATTTAAATTGATTCTGTTTTCAAAATTAAGTTTAGATTTAGAGAAAACATCACAAAAATGGGAAACCTGAATTGTTTGCCAAAAACACACTGTAATAGAAATAAATTCATAAAACAAGACAATCTTATTAAATTCTAGTTAGACACTGTTTGCTGTTGATATTTCTGAGCATGACATCTGCATCTGTTGAAGAGGTACATCAGCAAGCATTACTGGTGCATGTGAATTAGTATTGATCAGCTTTCTTCTTTCTTACATATTAATAAGAAGACTCAGAGAATTGAGGAACTTCCTCAGTATATATTTTTTTCAATGATCTTTAACACTGTGCCAGAAACCATCTCAAATAACATCCTTCAACCTATGATAATTTTTTTTAACCTATGATAATTTTGTATATCATTGTTAAACAAATCCCAAATATTCTGTAGAATACCCCCAAAATGATTTAGGAATTTCCCAAGTGATCTTTTACTTCTATTTTGGTCTCAGACTCTCAAAAGGAATCTTGTTTTTCTTAAGACAAGTCCCAATATGCCGATTAATCAATGGGAGGCAATATCAAGTTGATAGAATTGGAAATTATACCCAAAAAACTTGTTTTCAAAAGGCAAATATTACACACATAAAAGCAGTACTGATGTAGGAAGCACAATTAAGTTCAACACTATTTTGTTTGACCTTGGTCAGTAAACCACTCAGATATATTTCTAATATGCAAAAAAGGGGTGAAGTAAAATACTACATCTGCATAGGATGTTATACAGATTAAAATTAAGAGATGCTAGAATAACAGACACTCAATAAACGTTAGTTGGGTCAAAACTTTTATTTATTACAACTAAAAAATCTTGATTAGGGCTGGGGGTTTAGCTCAGTGATGCTGCCACCTGCCTTGAAAGTACAAGAACCCAAGTTCGATCCCCGATACCAAAAAAAAAAAAAAAAAAAAAAAATTTTTTCTTTTATTAAGAAGACTGGAAATTTTTTCACCTTACTGATCCCTATGCATTATTATTCAGTTTCAAATATAAGTTTGATAATTAAAACAAAACCAGGGGCTGGGGATGTTGCTCAGTGGTTCCACTGCCTGCCTCGCAAGCACAAGGTCCTGAGTTCAATCCTCAGTACCAAAAAAAAAAAAAAAAATTAAAAAACAAAACCAAAGGGCATACTTATGGTTTGAAATGCCCATGAAAACTTAGATCAGTCATTAGTTGGTCCAAAGCACATTAATAAAGTTCCTAAACTGTAAAAAATTATCATGGCAAATCATGATGAAATATTATTTCACATAATATCAAAATATATTTTATAATGAAACAAACAGTGATCCTGTCTTTATACATGACTAAAGCAAGTTACTGTACTAAATATTATATAGGATATCTAAAATTACAGTGCCACCTACAGGTGAAGAAAGTATTACTGATAGTAGATTTTTATGGTTTTATATTTTCTAACAATTCAACATTTAAAAGAAAAGTAGGATTTAATAATTGATCTTATTTTCTGATAAGATTCATAAGATATAATTTATCTTATAAAATAGAACATTTTTTTCTCAAATTCTTTTGCTACCTAGTAGGGAATCACTTCATTTTCAATAAACATTAGAACTGTGAAGGTAATTTTTAAAAATTAAGACTATAATATCCAATTTTTGCGTCCAATTTATTTATTGCTAAAATATAAAATGACACAAATGTACTTTAAACACACCATCATTTTATCTGAATATCTGTATTTCTTTTTTCTTTGTCTCCTAAACTTGTACCTGCAGATATTTATTTAGCAATAACTTAAGTTCCAGGCACTCCTTTATGACTATTTTACACATATTAACTCAGACAGTCTTCACAACAATCCTATGAAGTTAGTAATAGCTGTATGAAGCATACAAGTTTAAATCATCTCCCCAACGCTGTATGTAACATAGCCCCAGATTTCAAACTGGAAGAATTGTCTCCATATACATGCTTTTAATCACTATGCTGATATGCTTTTCATTTTTAAAAGGTGAATTCAGTGTATTACTGCATTAATGTGATACACGTATTCTGCTTTGCGGGGGGTAATATTTTCTAATGTTACTAAATCCTTCATTTTTAATAACTACATCCTTGCCATCCATTTGGTTTATCCTATTTTACTTACATTAGTTATTTAATGCTTGACTTTAACATCAATTATAATTTATTATATACAACATGATATAATAAACAAATTTTGCATTACATATAACCTTTGCCTTCTCTTGAATTTAATTCTCTTGGGCTAACGGTCCCCAAGTTGTTAAACTGACATAAAATATATTAAAGTACCTGGTTACTGATATTTAATGTTCCATACTGCTCTTTAAATTTCATCACCATCCCAGCACTGAAAGGATCTTCCCTATAAATAAATATCAGTCACCCTCCCACCGCAAATATAACTGATTAAAAAGTCATTAAGGATAATTTATGAGAGCCAGGTGTGGTGATGCCTACCTGTAATTTTAGCACTTGAGAGGCTGAGGCAGGAGGCCAGCACGGGCTACACAGTGAGTTCAAGACCAGCCTCAACTACATGATGAATCGCTGTCTTTAAAAAAAAAAAAAAAAAAAAAGACAATTTATGAATGTGGGCCAATTAATCTGTCAAACATTAAAATTTTCAAGGGGGCAAAATGTTTTGTCTAGCAACATAAAAGCTGCAGACATTTGTGTTCTTTGCCATTCATGAAATTGATGCTACCTGATTTTTTTTTTTTTTTTTTTTTTTTTTTTTTTTTTTGAGACAGGATCCTACTATGTAGTTCAGACTGCCTTGAACTCACTATGTAGCCTAGGCTGGCCTTGAACTCGAAGCAATCTTCCTGCCTTGATTCGTAAAAGAATAACACATTCTAAGACACTAGCATATGTCAGAGCTGATGTCAGGGCACAGACTTGTCTTAAAATCTTTGTTTTAGGTAACAGAAAAAAGATTTAGGAAATCAATGTAGGCCAAGATATAAAAACTGTATGAAAATTTTTACTTCATCAAAGATTATTTATCTCATAAAGGGGTAAAAACTGCAACCCAAACCCCATTAACTTATCACAAAATGCCAGCACTGCCATTAATCTTGAATATCTGATGCTTGCTGCTGGGATGATGCTGGGGCAACGTGGCTTGCTTGTTGACAGTCACCCCTTCGGCATATGTGCATAGGTTTGCCACCAATGAGCTAGAGTTTTACCCTTATAATACTTTTTTCTTAAATGTTATCTTACAGTCTACATTTCCAGTAGTTTAAAAAGATTAAATTTTATGACAGTGAACAAAGGTCATTGAAGCATGATATAATAGAAAAAACAGGCACTGGAGTCACACAGATCTTAAAATGACTCTGACACTTACTTTCCTGGAACTTTAAAGCATCAAATTCCAACTTCCTAGCATGCTGTGAAAATTACAAGACAACAATTATGAAGTGCTTAGCATATGGAAGATGCTCAGGAAATTTTAGCTTCCTTTCCTTTAAAGAGTGAGTATATATAAATAAATATGAGTATACCAAGGGTATCAGTTTTAAATGTCATGCTTCATTATTTCCCTCAGACAAACTGTAGCGTAACATGAAGCACTAAGATCAAAAGAGATCAAAAGAGATCTAATTGCTTCCTCAATATGGGAGCCTTGCATTTTGACATCAATATCATGATCTCTCACTAGCTGATATGAGAGATTATGGGGATGTTTCAAAATCTGTCTGTAACATCCTGGTACATTCAGTTTCAAAGCAGGTACTTTAAACCTATATGTCTGTAGTCCATCTCTGCTAAGCACTTCCCTATACCACTGCCCTACTTTGTTTTCTGGGTACTGAATATTGTATCCAAGTACTGGAAGAACCACCTGTGAGTGGGAAGAAAAAAAAATACATGAAACAGCCTTCAGAAAGAGATATGACCACATTTTACTTTTACAACTAAGGCCTAGATCTATAAACACAGACTCAGGATATAAATATTTCAATCAGCCTAAAATGTGCTTTGGATACTAAACTACATTTTTAACACTACCAGGTAAAGAAAATAGCTAAGCAAAAACAAGGACTTGCAATAACTAAGGTAAATGATTCAATGCAGATATCATTAGACAAATTATGATTCAAGAAGTTAGGGCTATGTAGTCAATAAAGACTGAATCTCTATGAAATCATGAATCCTAAAAGCATACTCTGTAACACAAGAGTGGCCTCTACTGATCTATCATGTAAGTGTTTTGGATAACAATTTTAAATGACTTATTTAAAAAAAGAATTTAACCAAGTCACAGAAAATACAATGCTTATTTTCTCAGCTGCTTGTGAGTAAACATTCCATTCTGTGGGGGTTTCCTCTTTTGCTGATGACTTCTAGACAGACTGATTGAATAGTACCAAAAGGTAATTAGAAAAAGGAACATGGGAAAAAAACTCTTCAAATATACACAACATGAATCGCAAAGATATTAATTACACAAATGAAAAAAGCCACAAATAAAAGTTATACTGTGCAATTCCATTTATATAATATGCTTTCCAAGGCAAAACTATAGTGACAGGAAATAAACCAGTGGTTTCCAGTAGGGACAGGAGTGGTGGGTAGCTATAAAAAAAAGTACGAGGAAATTTGAGGGAGACATAAAATTATTCTTTATGTTGATTTTTAAGGTGGTCTATGGCTGTATGTATTCATGAAAGTTTTTAGAACTATAAACTAAGTGAATTTATTTGTAATAAATGATAATTTGTTACTAAAAAGGGGGATCCTGTCAATATTTTGTTTTTTTTGAAACAATGCTTATACCAAAGTCTGAAGTGATAATAATTTTAAAGCAAATTTACCTGGTGTATTGTGTATGTACCAGCTGCTTCCTCTTCTTCAGTTACCAGATGGACCTATTGTTTAAAAACATGATGAAAATGACAGGTTCCCAAATGTTCAAATGACATCAATTTTCCCTAACTCCATTTTGTATAATTTGATTCCTATGATGAATATAAATATACCCAAACAGCATCTTTTCCTAACAATGTGTTTCTGGCAAAGCAGACTACAGAGTAATTCTTCCTGCTTCAACTATGGGAACTAAAGTTGAAAGACAAAGAGAAAGGTGGGCTGCTCTAAGGCAATATTTTCAATTCAGTCACCAACATTTTTTTCCTAAATTACTAAGTTATTCTTTACTAGGTTGAATAAAAAAATCAGCTTCTGTACAACCAACTCCCCCAGCCTCACCCTGAAAAATACTGTATTATAATACTCTGAGCAGGCATGGTATTTGTCAACCTTTGTTTCATAGAATAGTAGTAGGTGTCACAGAAAGGAGGAAAAAAAGGTATATGATGAATTAAATTTGAGAAATGTTACTACAGAAGATTACAAAATAAAGCCAGGCATGGTGGTGTACACCTGTAATCCCAGCACTTGGGAGGCTGAGGTGGGAGGACTGCCATGAGTTTGAGGCTAGCCTGGGCTACAATAGTGAGTCTAAGGCCAGCCTGGACTACACAGCAAGATCCTGTCTCAAAAATCCAAAGAGAAAAAAGAAAAGAAAATCACAGAACAATTCTGATTTCTGCACCATAGAAAAGCTCAAGCATAAAGACAGCTATCATATTCCCACATGGGTAAGAACAGTCTCATATTTCTAAAGCATTCATCGTATAATATAGTGCAAGATCCCCTCTAAGTCGACTTGCTTTTCCTTTAATTCTCCCTACTCATCCATGATGTCCTCCCTGTTCTGTTTTTCATTTTGGGTTTATTTATGAGGGGGAAATAGTCCCTTTTAATTACTACATTCAGAAATGGATATAAAGCTCAACATGCCCAGATGTGACCTAACCAAAATACAAAAGACAGATAAAGTACATTGAACTACGATTTTTCTTCCATCATCTCTTCCAGTTTTTTGTATTTCACAGATTTATGGGCATTCCTACCATACTGGATTTAAATAATTTATGAATATGCTGAACATACACAGTCAAGTACAGAGCACTATGTCTTATTTTTTAGAGCATCCTTCCAGGTTGATATTAAACAATTGACTAACAAACATACTTCTGCTGTCTGACTGTTCCCCAACTATGAATTCATCTGTTTTAAACTGTAAAACGCCACATTTCATTTTTCCCCCTAAAAGACTGTAAAAGAATCTTTTTTTTTTTTTTTTTTTGCAGTACCAAAGATCAAACTGAGGACCTTGTGCAGCAGTGCCACTGAGCTAAATCCCTAACCCTAAATGAATCTTAAAAGCCAAACTGCATCTAAAATACTGCAAAGCAGAGATGGAACATGCACCTTTTTTATGTTCTCACTGATCTGTGGAAGGAACATTAAATTTTTTAAAAAGAAGATAAATTAGGTTTTAAGTCCCTAGATAAATCTGTGCCTGAATCACCAAAGGTTTTCAGTTTTAAAGGCTGATAAATTTTTGTTGGTTATTCCTTAAATAAGTTTTGAGTTATATTTCTCTTACTTGAAACTGAAAAGATTCTCTTAAAATTTATTTTTCCTAAATTAACAGCATAGCATCAGATTAAACAAAACACACACACACACACACACACACACACATATACATAAATACATAAACATATTTGGTTTAAATTATATCCAAAATCAGGGCTTCTGAAAATTAATGTTCCTTGTATATTAACTACACCTCTATGATGAAATACTTACTTTATCATTTGGGAAATGCTCATCAATATCTTCATCCAAACAGATAAAATCACCTTTCACCACTTTTGATCCATAGGTTGCAAGTCTGTAGGACGCTGCCTCATTCCAAACTTTGCTACTATATGCATGAATGTAGAATATGCGCATAGAATGGGGAAAAGAGAACCATGCCCGGATGCACCCCTCCTCTGTTATGCCAAAGCGATGTAATGCCTCCAACAATGCTCTCTCTCGAACTTTGAACTCGGGCATCAGTGAAAGTGTGCCTTTAGCATCCTCTGAAATGAATAGCAAATGAGAGTCAGCTGCTTTTACTTAGAAGCCATTTTTAGAGCCCTTCCTTATGCTGTCTAAATGAGAGGCAATCACCTTAAATATGCAGATAACCCTTGGGCACTATAAGTTAAATCCAGTTATGCTTAAAAGGCTATTTTTTGAAATGAAGTCATTCATTGTTTGACCCTCCTTTTGCCTTCTTAGTTTAGGGGAAAAAAGCAAGAAAATCTTAAATTAAAATGGTATGTTATGGGGGGGGTAAAGGGAGGGCAGGGACAAGGGGAAAAAATGAGAACAAAGACCTGTCATGTAAAGGTACAAGATCCCAATGATGAATGTAACTGTACTGTATACCTAAAATGTACCAATAAACTCAATGAGAAAAAAAAAAAAAGAATGGTTTGTGGAATTCCTTCCTTTGAAATAGACTATTAAATTCCTTTCTTTTAAATGGACTGTTCCAGAGGACTGTTAAAATGAACAGCAGAAAAATTCCCACAGATCACCCAGCTGGTAGAGACTAGATGTGTTTGTGTGTGGGTGTGTGTATGTGTGTGATCCTGGGAATTGAACCAAGGGCCTCAAACATGGTAGGAAGGCATTGTACCACTGAGCTACATGCTTTGGACCACAGATTTTTAAATAGTTTTACAGACATGTACACAGACTTTTTAGAATAAGAAAGAACTGAAAACCAGATCCTCCAAGTACTCTACTACGCCTAACAGAGTGCTTTTTAAAATGTAGATTCTTGGGCTCCACTGCAAAGATGTTTATTCAAGTAGTTCCTTATATTTGGTATTTTAATTAACCTCCTAGGTTAATTAAATCTCCTTATGCAGATTAGTTTAAAAATCACTGACTTGAAGAGATTATGTTCTTAGACTCTACAACAGATACAAGCAAGTAAGTCACACTGAAATTCCTTCAGGATTAATTAGATTTCTCCTAAGTCACAAATGCACACTGTTCACAAATCATGGTGTGGAACAAACATATTACTTTCTTGTGAACGATTATCTCTATATAACATATATATAATTTAAAATAATGAACAGAAATATTTGAAAACTACAGTCCTTTATCTCAGTAAAATTCAACATATCCTTATTTCAGTAAGTAGATCAGGCATTTGAATGAACCTAAAGTGGTATGGTTGCTGATATTATTTAATACAAGTAATATTTATCCAGTATATAATATGTACCAGGCACTATTTTGAGAGTGTTACAGGGTTAAATCATCTGCATAAGATTGTTCATTCGGAGAGACCTGTGTATCCCATGAAGCTCTCTATACAGAAATTACCACATTGACCTAAAGTTTTCAAAGTTGACAGTCAGGACTAAATGGCAACTAGATCAAAAACAATGCTTTCATTTAGTTTACATTTGAGTCTCCTTTGGTTGTAATGAATTATACTGCCATCAGTACCACCTTAGAATTTGGAACTCTTCTCACAGGGGCTCTTAGCCAGGGAAAAGTAAGAAATGATTTCTCCCCACTTTCCTAACTTCAGAAAATATTTAGAAGAGACAAAAGTCCCAGAGATTTGCAAAAAATGAAGTGCTTAGGTCATGCAATAAAATGATTCAAAATACAATATATTTCAATCTATTTCTCCTTTTTTTTCCCCATTAAGTTTATAGGTACAGGTAAGGTAACCAATATGGTTACATTCATCTCTGGTGTGAAAAACAAAAAGTGTAAATAAGGTTCAAATGGTAAAATTGATAATGTGAAATAGGAAGAAAAGGTCTATTTCAATCTATTTCTTATCACATGTATATTGCAATAAATGTCCCCACTGACATAACAGTTGCATTACATCTCTGCACAGTCACATACAGGGTAAAGTAACTTATATACCAGTTTGAAGAAAGTATTTTTTGGCTCTATTTACAGGATCTTCTGAGTCTTCAGGGGTAAGAAATAATTTTACAGCCTTCACCTTGAAAAAACAAGCAAGAAAATACAGGTTGAATAAAAATGTCAAAAATTTTTTTTAAAATACGCAAATTCTTAGACATCCTAAAAGAATAAGCATTTGACAAATGCTATTTGATGTTATAAATTTCTCTTTACACTTTCCAAAATTAAAGTGAATATTATGCACAGAAATAACAACCTTCTGTATAAACTTTCCATGTAAGTTTAAAATATTATAGAATGGACAAAGTGCCCCCTTTCCACTCACTTGCACAGGTGCACTTCTAGCATTCAATTGAGATACAGATACAAGTGTAAAGTAGTGGCCTAAATATTCAAACTTGATCAACATATGTGACAGAAATAGCCCTCATTTGTGTCATCAATTCCCTGAATTCTTTGGAAAATGGTGCCGGTAAATCTTATTACTATCTCTAGCACTGGAATTTATTTCTAAGAACAGTACTGTACTAGAGTAAGAAAGGATCTTAAAAAGGTCATTCAGAGCTGAGCGTGGTGGTGCATACATGTAATCCCAGCACTCAGGAGACTGAGGCTGGACTATGAGTTCAAGGCCAGCCTGAGGTACATAGTGAGTTCAGGGCCACCTAAACTACATAGCGAGACCTGTCTCAAAGGGAATAACAACAAAAAAAAGGTTATTCAACTCTATCTTCTTTTACAGTATTCAATCATTCGAACAAATACTCATTTAGAAGTTAATATACTGAAACAAATATTAAGCACGTGTTATATGCTAGGTACTGTGTAGGGCACTGGGATAGAGTGTTGAACAAAAGAGGCACAGTCTTGTCCTATTAAAGCTTACTATTAAAGATTAAATAAGCAGCCAAAGTAAAATATAATAAAATTTAAGAAGGGAAGTCTATGATAATGTACTACCACAAGGTATGTGAATTCCCTTTTCCTTGGAGAGTAAAGTAAGAATGATGATTAAACTGTTATCAATGTACACATTAAATGTACCAACACAATTAATAAAAATAATTGTGATATATCAACTTACAGATGGAAATATGGAGACAGTTGATCACTTAAGTATAATACTATCATACAAATATCTTACATTTGTTCAAACATAATTTTTACAGTTTTCCTTTATGTGTAGTCCATTCTAATGTAAATATATATACATATATGATTATATATGATTACATGTTAAAAGTATACACATACAAACATTTTAAATGGACAATGTAGCTTTTTATGACACATACTTTTAGTTTCATTTGAGACTAGTCAGATTTTTGTTTTCAAATTTATTGTTCCTCTTTTAAGTCTCTAGATTTCCATATGATCTGATACCCAATTTATGGGATGACAGGGTATTTTCTCTAATTTCTATTCAGTACACTAAGGACTTAGTTGTTGGTCAATTCTCTGTTGAGTCTCACATAAGAGGTATTACATATACTTTCCTTTTTATAATGTGATACTCTATAAGCAGGTACTTTATAGTCAATGATGTAACATATGTCATATATGTATGTATGTGTATACACATAAATTATACTTACAAAGGACCAGGCTATCTTGTGTAGTAAGTATAAATAAATAGATAGATAATACTTTTAAAAGTCCATACCATTTCACTCTTCAGCAGTGCCAATCCAATTTGGTCTGTGTGAACTTTTCTTCCCTTCCCAAATCTCTGTGGTCCATAGTAATTCACAAAACCTTTAGTCTATGAATGTAAAGTATCCCATATATTAAGTAAATAAGTTCAATTTAAAAATCCTATAATCAGTAATAGGCACACAGGGACCAGTGGGAAAAATAACATTTAATTAAAGAAAGGAGAAACACACAATTACAATAAAGGGGAGGACACATTAAAAGAATTAAGATGTATTGTGTGTATCAACACGATAAATAAAATCATTATATACTACAAACTAATAAAATAAAAACTACTAATGCACTAATAAAATTTTTTAAATAAAATGTAAAAAATAAATGAATAAAAAAATAAAAGTCAGCAATAAGACCAGCATTCCAGTCACCTTATTGAGGGATTTCCTGAGATATGGGACTATCATTGCTAAGGCTAGGAAACTTCTGGGCAATCTAGGATAAGCTGGTTACCTAGTAAATGGATCTGATCTCTGCCCTGAAGTTAATTCTTATTTTGAGACTCTTCTGCTGTCAGATGTTGGGAATGAGAAACAGATTTATTTTCAAACTCCACAAATCTTGACGCCTTTACATATTAATTTATTATTTAGCATTTCAGTTTCCTAAAGTGTGCCCCCTCTCCTGCCAAAAAAGTGCCATAGTACCACTTTTACAGGATTCTTATGGTGAAGGATTACAGTGTTTAGATTCCTGGGGAGAGGCAGAGAATTCACCTCTAGATGTAGGTGAACCTTCAGGCCATGTTTTAAAACTCCTGTATTACTCAGCAGAAACAGAAAATTATAACTTATTACTGTAAATTGGTCTTATTATAGAAACTGGTCAGTGGTTAAATGTGTTTTCACCAAGAAAACACCAAGCCCAGGTGGCTTCCTGAAAGACAAAAGATTCTTCTACACTCATGTTATGAAGGGAGAATATGTTTATTCAGCCAATAATTGTTACTGAGCATCAACTCAAAGACTATTGAATAAAAGAGGCTCAGACAATTTATCAGCACCATATAAAAGGAACGGCATCTTTCCATCAAATACAACACTCAACTGAAGATAAATAAATATTCCCTGAATTAAATCTCATAGTTGAATTTTATTAATCACTTTAAATTTGAATAAACTAAAATGAGATAATTTTGAATAATTTTAACTACTGCTCCTCCAAATTAATTATATAGAACAATCAGAGCTATAAATCTCTAATGAAAAATTTAAAGACTCCTTATTTTTAAGGCCACTCAACTCCCTTTATTGTGCAAATTAAAAAGAGAGTTGACTAAACCCAAGATTATTTCTAATGGGAATTTTATAACAGGCAATTGTACCTTCATAAGTACTAATGAAAGGCTGATAACAAATGCCACCAGAGTTCAGAGAAATCCCCCTCCATTTGTAAGAGATTTCATTTTAGCAAGTTTTTAGTCATGAAAAAAAAAGGTCAATTAGGAGAAAAGGATATAAAGTATATAGAATATATTAACCAGAGAAACCTTACAGATAGGTGAAAGTGATCAATACAGAAGATATTTAGCTAGAAGATATTTCCTGACTGTAAGACAGCCAGGTTTTGTTTGCTTGTCTTCCTATTAGATTGGTATAAAATTGTAAAAAAAGGTTTTGTGGTCAAAATGAATCAGTCTTTCAATATTTGCAGCAGAGTAGAATTAAGTAGGGCCTTATTTTAAAATACCAGTGGAAAAGCTTCACCCCCAAAAGTTCTTACTTAATTGGCCTGAAAGAAGAAATTGACGACTGAAATTTGTTTAAAGCTCCTCCGGTTGGGAATTGCTGGTATAGATCAGGGATTGGCAAACTCCTAGAGTCCAGAGGTCAAATATGGCTCAATACAGTACTCATTTTTATAAATACATTTTGGGAAACACAGTCTGCTCATTTATTATATATTGTATAGCTGCTTCCACACAGTGGCAGCTGACTGATTACAATAGGGAACCATATGCCTACAAAGCAAAACATATTATCAGTTCTTTATAGAAAAATTTGCTGACCCCTAGATGATCAGACTAAAAACTATGTTTTTATATGCATATTTAAATAGCAGGCATGGCATTTAAAAACATAATTTTTATTATAAGACATAACTATATGACTTATAATATGTACATATATAGAGAAGACAATTCAAAATTAGATTCAAAAGATGATGCACAATCTTAAAAGTAACATATTTATTAAGAATTTCTAAAATGAGAATCAACACCTATCTTGTAAAGGTACAGGATACCAATAATGAATGTAACTGTATTGTATACCTAGATTGTACCAATAAACTTAATAAAAAGAAAAAAAAATTCTGAAAAGAATTACTGAACAAAATTTCCAAAAAGTAAATTTCTCTAAAATATTACTCAACAAGGAAAACATTTATTTAAAAATTCCTCTCCTTATACAGAGATTCTCCTTCCTTCTTCGTGAAACTCCCTACCTTGTACTGTATTTTTAAAACTATACCTATGTTTGGTTTTAATATAATAATGTACTAAGAAAATGAAAAATAAGTCACATGGTTCTAATTATCATTTAAAATAATTATACATGCACATAAAGAAAAATAAGTTGCCCTTCTTTCCTCAATGTAAAGAGAGGTACTATGAAGATTTTCTTGTAACACTCTATTTAAAATTGAGTTTACTTACCTTAACATTTTCTATTGCCTCCCAAATTCTCTCTCTCAGGTTTGCAAAATCATTTATTTTATTTTTTAAATTTCTAATGACAATATCAAAGTGATTTCCTTTGAGTTGACCAAGCCTAAGAGAATCATCTACAGATCGAATGTTAATCACATTCATTCTTTTCTTTTCAATTTCTTTTTCAATACTTTTCAACCTGTGAGTGATAAATCAAACAGACTCAGTTAAATCTTACATTCAAAATATACTTCGATGTATGATTTTAAATGATCAATGCCAGGCAATTCCTCAGATGAGAATACAGGTACTCTTTATTTCAGCAAATGCACACCAATATTCACTATTAAGAGAGTACACTAACAGTTACTTCAGGAATTTGAATATACATTACTAATGCTATCACTCTACCTGTGTAGGCTCCTGACTTCTTAGTTCAAGTGAAATAATCACCCAACTGTTCTCCCAATCTTCCAGGAAAACCCCAAAGTCAGGGTACTCTGTATCCCAGTGATGGGCCACCTTATTCCCAGACTCTGCTCTTGCCCTTCTAGCCGTTCTTCTTCCAATATTACCATGAAAAATCACCAGCAGCAGACAATTTTCCTGAAATTCTGCTTTAAACACTTCCTTATTCAAACCTTCAATTCTTCCCCAACATCTAAACAGACCAAAATTTTCTTAGCATAGATGTCAAGGTGTTGTAGCAGCTAATATAAATTTTCCTTTACATCCATGTTTTCTGTGGTCCTCACTAAAACCACCTTTAAAGGCAGACTGTTTATTGCTCCTTTAAATATTTATCTTAAATACCTAATCTGAAGTTCTCCTTTCTTACCCCACACTGTAGTTCTTGACCACAAAGACACAATCATACCTAGTTTTGTCCCATATATGAGAGTTTAAGAAAACTTAGAAAAATCTACTTACAAATAGTGATACTGAAATACTTGATGACTAAGGATTAAAATATTAATTTAGGCTGAATTTTGGCCAATGATACAACTTTTTGAAGTTAATCTCAAGGAAAGTATGCACAAGATGCAGATTCTAGTATAAGAACATGAATCACAATATTATTTACAGCAAAAATTGGAAATAATTCCTATTTCCAAAAATAGATGACTATTAAATAAGCCTGTACCATGGATATGATTTTGAAATATTTCATAACATAAATTTTTATAATTTTTAAAAAATATGAATTGCATGTAATCTTTATATATGTAATATGTGTGTGATCTGTGCATGTGGTATAGTCTGAAAAATATCTTGAAATAGATCAAAATGCTAACTGCAGTTATTTTTGAGGAGTGATATCATGAGTGACAATTTTTTAATACTTGTTTCTACTTTTTCAATCTTCTACATTGACTATATATATTTCACAAAAATATTTTTACTACAAAAATTTTTAAAACTGTTAAGCTGAAGGAAAGCAAAATTTTAGTACTTTGCATTCTACTTAACAAGAATGTAAATGCAAGAAACCATAAAAATAAAGGCACACAAGTATCAAAATGATTAGGAAGAAATGATTTATAAGACATTTTCCTGAACATAAATGCTTATTTTAATTAGTACAGGATGCTCAGAAAAATTTAGACAATTTAAAAATCTGTCACATCTTAAGTTTTTAATCCTAGAATTTCTTAGATTTTCAATAAAAATTTAAGATATGACTCCATTTATAAGACAACTCTAACACTGTAAAATGTGCTGGTAGTCTACAATCAGTTAATTAATACTAACAGTGAGGTTATTATTGAGCTTTTAAGCTTGTATTTACTTATTTGATGCAATATAAAAGAAACTTCTATTTGATAAAGCAATACCTTATTACCTCTCTGGAGTAACTTTTCTAACAACCATTGCTTGATAGGTGATGGCTTTCTTGTCTTTAAGGCCTGCATAACTAAAATCTGAAGGAATCACACCAAGTTTGGCAGCTAAAAAACCAACTGCTTCAAACATCTCCACATTTTCCTTTCGCAGAGTAAAAGCTGAAACAAAAATAATCCTAGATTACAAAAAAAAAAAAAGCAGCTACCATATATCAATTATATTCTTGCCTACAACCTTACTCTTGTTTTTATAACTATGGAAGTTCAATTTTAAGAGATTTAAAATTTCATTAATCTTCGTAAACGAAAGTCAGTTTATATTCCAACCCACATAACTTTAAGATCCCAACTCTTCATTTATATCCTGGAGTCCCTACAGAGTACAATCCTGCTTCTGCACCATATACATCTGCGTAAACTTGGACTGCTACTTTCCTTTAAACTGATGTGCTAAACAAATCTGTAAAACATGAGCATCTGAAACATGTTCCATCCTCCAAGTTAGATATACAAAAGTCAGATATAATCAGCTGGAATTATTCAGTGAAATTTCATTTTTCCATCCATCAGAAGAATTACACATTTTCCCTGAAATAGTAATTCTCAAAAAATACTCCCTAAATCAGCAGAGAGAGCAGTACTGAGGAATTTGTGTAAGCCCCACTTATCCCTTCCAAATCAGAAACTGGAAATAACACTAGAAAGTCCATTTTGTTTTGGTTTTTTTGGTACCAGGGATAGAACTCAGGACCTTCTGCTTACGAGGCAGGCAGTGGTAGCACCACTGAGCTAAATCCCTGGCTAGAAAGATTGTTTTAACAAAAACCTTTATGGGATTATACTGCATGCTGAAGTGTAAGCCCATCTTAGAGTAGACTGACAGAAGTTTTAAGGTTCCCTGAGATAGAAATTGGTTTTTGCAAATATTTTTACTTTAGGAAGCACAGCAAACATACACTTCTTTAAATACTTAATTTTAATTAAGATGACTTTCAAAATAGGAAATCAAAATTTAACATCAATAAAACTTATTAAGCCCAAAATAACTGTTTCAACTTCCTATGTTTGTGACTGTATTAATTGTGAATATTTATTTCACTCACCCTCCCATCAATAAGGCTAATTATTACATTCAGTGTAACTTGACAGGCTTTATGTTTCATTAAGTAACAGACCCACATATTATTTCCAATGCCTCTCTGGTCAAGTCTGTTTGAATTATTTAAATAATTCAGCTTCCACTCAACTTTAAATTTAACTAAGTTTTTCTAAGAAAATGATGATGTTTTATTAAATTACCTGTATGTATAATTTTTTCTTTCTGGCATCCAAGAGACCTTTTTCCATGCTTGTGTGTTTTTTCCCGAAATCTTACTGTTATCACTGTGTTTGGGTTACTAGCATTGTAATTCTGTTCAGGGAAAGATTTGGTTTCTACAAGGTTTCCAAACTTCTTGTTGACAAAATGATGGATAGCTTTTCTGTGATCTTTGTTTGTATCAGGTTTAAAGGTAAATTTGGAATTTTCTTTCTTAGCATCTAAATATTTAAAAAACTCCAACGCTTCTTCTTCAGATACCAAGTGACATAGTTCCTTATATTCAAGATTTGGTTTTACAACAATTTCACTGTTTTTTCCTACAGTTATTAAAAAAGGAAATTTCTGCCTAATAGCACTATGTAAACTAGCCCTCTGGTTTTTGTCAAGGATTTTGCCTAATGAAAATTCAGGGAATTGTTCAAATGACTCAGTTCTTGAATTCCACTTCTCTTTTATGTCATAGGCAAATTGATTCAGTAATTCACTAGTTTTTTCATCTAAAAATGAGCTTAATACATCTGCTTTTTCTTCTTCATGTTTGGATGTCCTGTCATCAATAGTATCTTTTTTTTCTGAATACAACTGATGGTTTTGGTCACCACTGGAGTAAAGAGCCGAAGTATTAACTTCTTGGTTACTTCTACCTTCAAAAGACAAATTTTGAAGATCTAGTTTTGGTTTTTTGGCAAAATTATTCATCTCTGGTAGCATTTCACTAACCAAAACAGGTTCATTGATGGTTGTATTAACTAATTGTCCCTGTTCATTAATCTCAATAACAATAAAGTCACTTGGTGAGCTTTTTATAGTACCCTGAAATCCAACATGCTCATTAATGAAACACAAAGAACTAAACCAGATTCCATAATCTGTATCCTCTTCCATTCTACATAGCAATGCCTACAAAAGAAATAGAGTCAGTTACCAGAAAGAAAAGTTGCAAATAACAACAAAGAAACGGTTTTGCAAGATTTACTTAATTGTCACTTTTCATACAGAGCTCTCATGAATTACATTAATGATTTACGGCCATATATCATGTGTACATTGACATCCATATACCAAGCTAAATAGGCAAACTATTTTCGGTATAACTAGTGATTTATAACTTGATTTTTCACTCATTCCAGGGTCCTGTCTAATAAGTAGGATTAAAGTGGGCAAATTTCAAGTTTATCTTAAAAGTAATTATTTCTAGGCCCATAAAAAGACAAGAACAGGACTATTTCACAATGATTTGGCTGGTTTCACCACTGGAGCTTAAATTTTCCACTAATTCTATAATAATAGTTTAATTATAGCCAGATTTTTATATATTAGAGGTTAGAACAGGAGAGTGAACAATAAGACAGGAAAAAAAAGTTTAAATTGATAAGTAAGAAATGTTATAAAAATCAACTTACAACCTGTTTATATCTCAACAGGGTTTAATCAGTCCCAGACCTTAAGCTTCCTATAAAGCCCCCCAACACAGAATTCTGACGTTGATCCACAAGAAAATTCTAGCCATATTATTGGCATCAGAGAGAAGAAACCCTTGTGGGATTTTCTTGGGCAGTAGACAAGAGAACAGTTTTCTGAGAAAAGCCTTCAGCTGACACAGAACTCATCATTACTATACCACATGGGGCTGTGGGAAAAATAAACTGTCAAAAACCTCACTATTTAGTTATCTGTGGTAGCCGCACTATCCAGAAAATTTATCATCATGTGGTCCTTCATCCCATTTCCACAATGTAATCTACTAACCTGAACCAATTTGGCAAACCGCTTCCCGTCTTGATCCTGTCCACTGTGTCATGCAATCATCACAGCAAAGTCTCTGTATCTTAAATTTCTAACAAACAAAACAAAACAAAAGGTATATTTATTTTCTGATTCCTGCATAGTCCCACTTCTTGCCCTAATCAATATATAGCTATTTCCCAGACTGCTTCTTCAGTTATCTTCTCAAATGAAGGCTATTTTTCAATTCACAATTATCAACCTTTAGGACCAGGTTATAAATGTTTTGTCAATGATCTCTCCAAAGCATTTTTTCGTCTTCTAGGTCCAAAAGAACCAGTTTCTTTGCAGATCATGGCAACAGGCTTTACCATCTGCTGTCATCCTCTTTGGTCCCTTTTGACATTTTTGTCTGCTGATTTCTGGCTCACTACCTTCTTATCCAGCAAAACTTCATTATCACTTAAATGGAGCATCTACTCAGTACCCTGGTTCCTCAGTTCTTTGTTCTCAACCTCCTCCATTTCATTTTGATCATTGGCTCTTATGGGTGTAACTTTTGAGTTTCTCATCACCAGAAACCATCAAAGTTTAAACACCTGACTCCCAGTCACTCCCACCATCCTCCCATCAGCCCTATTTTAGTATTTCTGTCCCCAAAACTCGTAAGACATTGTGTAGGCCTCTAATCCCTACTTCTATGTCTCGGCCACTATGGTTCATTCTCTGTGTAGCAGCCAGAATGCTGTTTTAAAAGATAAATTTTATTGCAACTGTTTAAAACCCTATAATCACACTTATTGTAAAGTCCAAATTATTTTTTCTGAATTCCAAAGACACCGAAGGTTCTAGACCCTGTGCATTCTCCAAACTTTTCTTGTACCTTTAATTCATTAGTCTGCTAACTGGTCTTCTGTTTTTTTTGGTTTTGTTTTGTTTTTACCAGGGATCAAACCTGGGAACTTGCGCTTACAAGGCAGGCAGCAGAATCACTGAGCTAAATCCCGGTCCTAACTGGTGTTCTTTATTACATTCATGCTAACTGTTCCTGCTACTTAATTGTTTCTTCTCCAATTATACAGCTGCATTTTTTAGGATTCATATTCCCAGAAATCTCTCTGACCAATAATCTATAGGAACCTGCAAGTCATTCTATTTAATTTTTTGGATAGTATTTCTAGCGAATATTTTTCTGTATTATTTACTGTTTTTCTCTCTCCTATCCTAATGTCAACCCCATATGAACAGGAACATTATCTGCCTTACCAATGATTGGCCCACATTAGGAAGTGTCAAGATTATAGAAGGTCTGCAATCAATACTGATAGTTGTACAAACAACTAGTAGAAAATATGAGCTGTAAGAGCGAAGAGGAAAAAAGGATTACTTTTGCCTATGATAATCAGGAAAGGAGCAACGCGAGGAGTAGCCAGCCATTTGCTGATTTATACCTCCACGTTCCCCAAGAGTCACATGTGCTCACAGGTGGGGGCTCTGGAAGGTGACTGGATTATGAGGGTTTTTAACTGACTTGTTATTACGAGGTGAGGTCTGGTAGGAAGAGGTGGGTCACTGGGGCACTGGCTTGGACAGGTTAGTCCATGCCCCCCCCCACTCCTCCCTTGCTGTCTCCTGGACACCATACCCTAAGTAGCTCTCCTCAGCTCTCTTCTGCCATGCACTTCTGCCATACTACCCTCCCTTGGAGCCGGCTACTGTACAGTAAAACCTCTACACACTGTAAGCCAAAATAAATCATTCCGCCTTTAAATTGCAGGTGTCAGGTATTTTGTCCTAGTGATGAGGAAAGTGAATGAGACGCGAGTCCTTAAGAGAGTTCGAGACAGAAACCGGGCAGAGACGTTACAAGTAAGGAAGGCACAAACAAAATATGCAATTTTGCGACCTGTTCAAGAAAAACAGCCCTGCCAGGGATCTTTGGTAAAGGAGGGCTACGCCAGGGTACGGAGCACACATACACACAGCAAGCCCTGAACAAGGACTGAGAATCTTTGCGTGATCCATGGATGGCCACTGGAGGCGTGTGAGTGAAGAGTGACACAATCACAAAGGACACTATTCTAACAGGACGGAAGGAAGGCAGCAACACACATCTGAAGAGCTGGAGTAGCCGGAAAAACAAGTCCCCCGTTGGAGGGGTCGGCCATGTAAGAAAAATGATTTTTACTTTTCCCCGGGGAAAAAAAAGAAAATCACTACAAAGGCCTTCTACACTAAAGAAATAGGTTTATACGTATTTTTTAAAAAACAAACTTGGGGAGAGCTGACACCACGCGGGAGTTCCAGAAAAGCAGCTCCCAATGGACCGGAAGTAGAGGACGGGCGCGACGGGTCGCGCGTGAACGTGCACGTTCCTCAGGGACAACCTGCTGAGCTGAGTGAAGAAGCCGTGGGTTGAGCAAGGATCCCGGTAAGGGTTAAACACGGAAGGAAGCAGGGGCTTCTCCTCCGTGCTCTTCTCCAGCCGCGGGGTGCAGCCAGACCCGCCCTGCTGACGCCCCTTCCGCCGAACCCAGCGTGGGAGGCGCGGCCTGCCAGGCCGCGAGGCCTCGCTCGGGAGCACCACACGTTCCTAGCCCACGCCGCCGTCCTCCTGGGGCAAGCGTGCAGATCCTCAGCACTGACCCATCCACGAAGCCATATGCAGTACAGGCCCCACTACTCAGGGCTGCAGCGCCAGCGACTCACGTCCACGTGGAGTGGTCCTCCGCGCTACAGAGTGCGCAGGCCCGAACCCATACCGTTTTCAGCATCCGAAGCGGGGGAACTTGAAGCGGCCCTACGCGAGCTGCGGAGCCGCCTAGAGGAACGGGCGGGGCCTTACCGGGTTGTCCCCGCCCACTCCCGGTGGCCCCGCCCCACCCGCGTGTTTCCTGTTCTGATTGTCAGTCCTTGGCTCTGCCTGGCTTTGAATCTATCTCTGCTCAGGTAAGGATTTCCTGTGCCGGCGCCTCCTGCGGCGAAGGTTGGCTCGAGTCCGCGGCGGGCTGGAGCCCTCTGCTCCAGGGTTTTCTCCGGGCGTTGCGAACCCTAAATCTCCCTATCGTCCCGTTGAGGAAAATCAGAGAAAGTAGGCTACGTAGTCAGAGGTTAGAACTTGGGTGGGTCCCTTGGAACCAGAAAGTTGGTCTGATGATCCTGAAGCTTGCAGGGGCGTCGTCTCTTCTGTAGCTCAGATGGACCTTCTTTCAAGGTTCGAGACTTCCAGGCGAGCCGGTTCGCGGGGCCACCTCCGGAGAACCCGGAAGCGAGGCCAGAGCCCTGCGGAGATGCTTGTCACCTGGAAAGCTGTCAGAGCCTCAAAATTTTCTCTCGGGCCTGCAGCCTTCAGGGAATTAGAAGGTGGGAAGGCCCGTTTGTAGGTTCAGGTAAGTGCATTAGCAGGTAACACCTTGGAAACAAGACAAAAGGCCAAAAAGCAAACCCTGAGAGCGCTTTTAGCCATTTGGAATAGAAAGAAATAGACTAGTTTCACAAGTATTTCTGCCTAAGGCACCTTAAAAGAAGAGAATATTAAAATTTGTTTTCCCTTTCTGGGAGTAATTCTTGAAGTTTGTTGGAAAGTTCACATTTTTTTTATTTGTCTGTTTTCACGCTAATTGGTCATCAGAAGTTTGGTTTCTACCGGTTCAAACTGAGCTCTTGATCCTCCAGGCCTAACTTGTGCTTTCCAATCTTCACCATGGTATATCTGGAAACTTCAAGTCGACAGCCTCTGTGCCATCTTTTCCCTCTGTGCAACACACCGGATGCCATTGGCTCTGCCTCAGAATCCCTAGCATCTTGGAATTTATGCACCTCTTCTGCCACCCTCTGGTCTAGACCGCATGCACCTCCTACCTGGGTTATTGGTGTACTTCCCTAATCGGTCTCTCCCTATTTCTCTGCCCTTACTCCAGCATCCTCTAGTGTCAGCAGTCTTAAAACATGCAGACAGCATGTCTGCACTCAAACTTCCAGTCTCTCATCTCACTCAGAAATAAAGTCAATACAAGGGCTCTAAGGCCCAGGAGGGATGGCGCCTTTTCCCTCTGCTGCTGCCTGTTTTCCAGTCTCACTGGCTCTTTGCTGTGCACGTCTATCCTTGATTTACAGGCCCTGGTCACAGCTGACTATGATAAAATCCAGGCCTATGCAACCTCAAGGTCTGTCTTCATTCTACTCCTCCCGAAAACTTTCCCCACAGATACTCCAGGAGTTAGCTTTCTCTTTCCTTCAGACTTTCAGTCAAATAGAACTTTCCTATCAAGGCCCACTCTGACTACCCTACTTAAAATTGCAACCCCATTTGTTTGTTTTTTCACTCCACTTGGTGTCATCTAATATACAATAGAATTTATTCATTTGCTTACTGCCTGTCTTCCTTCATTAGAATACAAGCTTCATGAGTTCATGGCTTTTTATTTCTCTAATTTTTCTAATGCTTTATTTCCAGGGACTGGTATTAATGTAAAGCACAAAGTAGACAGTAAATATTTGGTAAATGCATGATACATATTTTAAACACATCAAAAGCACTTTAAATTGTCTGCCAGTGACATAGGTCATCGTTCATGAAAGATTTATGCTTAATTGGTGGCATAACAGCATATAACCCAGTTTTAAAAAGGACAAAATAGGTTTGGAAACTATCTCCTTTTGGACATAATTGTGATACTATTTGTTAAAAAATAAAAATGGTTATATTTTGTTAAGAATTCATGAAAGTGATTAATGTATTAGATTTAAATATATTAAAAGTACTGTGCTTGATAAAATAAGACTGCCACATCTGAAAAGCTTAACTATATTCTCAGATTTCTTGTTTGTATCAAACAGGTAGTCCTTCACTATTCTAAAAATTGAGCTTAAATAAACTCTGCACATTTGTACTTTTAAAATGTCATATAAAAATAACATACCATAAAATAATAATTGTTGCCTTTTTGGACTAATTATTTTGACAAAATTAGGCCTTTCACACTTGCTGATTCTGAATCTGAAAGTAATTACATATTGGCATCTCTGTTTTTCAGATGAAGAAACAAAGGTTCAGAGAAGTTGATTTAGTGACCTTGGGTTCACTTGGCTATTATAAAATACAGGCTCATGCAGCCTCAAAGTCCATCTTCCCTCTACCCTGTATAGTTCCTTCCTTTTATGAGAGTTCTAATGAAGCACAATCTTAAAACTTAATTCATTTGATAAGAACTTCTGGAAGTCCTTGAGCTCCTCTTTGGGCCTAACGCTTTGTTTGAAAACAGGTATTTGGGTTCTGTAAGCAGACACGGATTTTAGTATTTTTCTCAATTGCCACCTCGCCTTGTATGCTTTTTCTGAGTCACTTTGTTTAAAAATATGAATGGCTTTGCTTTCCTTTATTATAAAAATTAATGGTATGAGAAAATAGTCATGAAGACATGTACTTATTCATTGATATATCCTGTTCCACCTTTATTAAGTGTGCCAAAGTAAATCTTAAAATTGTTTGAAAAAGGTGACACTTTTTAGTTTTTCTGCATAGTATATTTTTATTGCTGAAAATTCAGAAAAGCAAAGTGAAAGCAAAACCACTGTAAGAGATCATCAGGAGACAACTACCATTGTTGGAGCTGTGGCTTATGGTAGAGTACCTAGCATGTGGAGGCCCAGTGTTCAGTCCTCAGCATCACACACACACATACACACACACGCACACACCCCATACACGCAAACACTGTTAATATTATGATTTGTGTTCTTCCAAGTATGCGGTTGGGATTGGTATATGAATGTGTTTAAGATAAAATTATAGATTCTGGAATTTGGAACATGTGAGCATATATGCAGAGCAGTTTTCAAAAGGCTTTTCCTTTTCCTGGTATTCCTACACTATCACTTCTGCTAGAAATCTGGGTGCCAAGAGCTACACAATTCACCCCTGGTCCTTTTTTAAAATGTTCAGTTCCCTGCATTTTAGCTGTGGTTTTTAGGATTAATAAACAGTTCTTCCTTTAATACCTTTGTCAGTCAGATTGTACTTATCATAGTAGAAAAAATCTGGATAAATAAGGAGAAATAACTTGAAGGGAGCAACTGCAAAATCCATAGGTAAATTTGATTTCTGTTTTTAAAAAAAATCAGACTTCAACACAAATCTTTGGTGTAGTCACTGAAGTGAATTTGGTTGAATCCCTGCCTAGAGAGCACACTATCTGGCAGAGAAAGAAAAAGCATCAACACTAAAATATAATAATTGTAATAGAAGTAAGATCAGGTGATATTTTGTAGCAAGAGAGTCTTCTCTCAGGAAGGCCAATATTGCCTTTTCAGTTGGGCTTGGAGAAGAAGCAGACATCTACTGGCTGCAGCTCTTTACCTCACCCTAGATGACCTCACATTCTCTTTCACAGAGAAAATAAACACATGTGAGAACTCTCCCTTTCCTTCGTATCAGTATTGAGTTCTCTGTTTCTCTGGATTCAAAACAAGAGTTTTCTCTGTTTGAGGCTGAATTTTTCACCTGTACTCTGTTCACTGTTCCATTTATATCATCAATCAGCTGAAGCCTTCAGCTCTTATCCCAGCAGCTCACTAAGTGTGACTAGAATCTCTGGGACTCTTTCAGGGCGTTGTAAAGTCAAATTTACATAGGGGTAAATGATTCACTGAGTGTAGCACTTTTAACGTGCGATATTCATTGATACAACTTCAGAGTCTCAACAGATAACTTGCAGCTCACTTGTTAGAAAATTATTCTTTACCAACTTTTAGTATCAGAAAATAACTATTTGTGAAAAGGCTCTTTAAAAACTCCCTTTTCCAACTATGCATCTGCGTGAAACTGTGTTTTCTTCATATGCATCAACCAAAGTAATATGTTGAAGTAGATTGAATACAGATCGGATATGAGAATGTAACTACCTCCCATTAAACACACAAAGAGATTTGTGAAGCAGTAAAATAATGTCACTTTTATATTTCAGAATACATAATTATCTTTGCTAAAATATGTATGTTAACATGTATAGTGTTATTTTTAAGTGAAGTAATTTTTAAACTTCTTTGTCAATTTCTACTATAGTGAACATTGGTAGATATTGCTGAAATAAACAAAATCCTTATATGGTCCACAGTAATTTTTAAGAGTGTAAAGGGTCTTAAGGTAAATTTTGAGGATTACTATCTTTCCTCTTCCTGTCCCTCCTTCCCTTGCCCCCTCACTTTTTTTGAGCCTTGTTCAGGCTGGCCTGGAACTCACTGTATAACCGGGGCCAGCCTGGAACTCATAGTGATGCTCCTGCCTCAGCCTTCCTAGTGCTGGGATTACAGATGTGTGCCACCACACCCAGCCTGCACTACAACTGTTCTTAAGTCACTAGTGACCTTATTTCCACATCTAACACCCATCAGTACTTCTTTAACTTCTCTAAGTCTCTTATGCCAACCTCTCCCCATCTCTAGAAATCTCTTGACATGCTATTTTCTTTCCTTCATGAGTTATCAGTACTATTTAGATTCCTTTTATTTCTTCCCTTCCCATTCCCAGGAGGCAACTTCACTTTAATGTGTGCACTTAATTCTCATGTGAGAATGTGCACATCATGAGCATTCTTTGCATAAACCTCTCTGCTAAGCCCAGACTTTGTAGATACCACTTGGTTCCAGCTCCCCTAGATGGTGCAAACCCAGTAATCATGTTTATTTTTCCTCACTCTCCCTTTCCTCTAACTCTGATCTTGTGAAATTGTTTTAATATGACCTCCTAAACCTCTTAACCCTTTTCTTCTCCATTCTCTCACTCTGCGTTTTTTTAGTCTCTCACTTCTGCTCACTCGAAAGTTTTCAAAATGGTCTCCTTGCTTTGATACACATCTCTGCTCCTTTTTATCCAGAAGAATCTACCTAAGGAAATAAGATCATACAACACACCTGTTCAGAACTCCTGACATGCTGCCTTGTAATTTTTATACAATATAAGTTAAAATTCTCTGTCTGACACACAAGGCACATTATTAATTGACCCTACGGGATTCTCCAGCCTTGTGTCTTCTCACTTCATATGTGCATCGTGTGGCTGGCCATAGTAGGTTCCTTGCTTGAGCCTAACCCAGGTTGTCCCACCTTTTCCCATGTTATTCCCTCTGTCTGGAATTTCCTTTTGAATTCATCATCATTCCCTTTCACTCATCCTTTCAACCTCTCACTCAGCCAAATCTGTCTTGATATAGTGTTCCTAATTCTGGACCCTTCAGTTGCACCTATTCTGCACCCCCTGTGTCCTAAATATATCTCTTGTAATGTTTGTCACTCATTTTAACTGAGCAACTTGAGAACAAATATTTTTTCCTGAATTCCATCGCTGAGTATAAGAGCCTCATGAACATGTTCATGAGCATGCAAACGAAAAGAAAAGGAATGGTCCTTCTAAATAAGATAACGATATCGTTAGTGGACCAGGTTATAGAAGCAAGGACACACACGTAAATTTTGGAGTCAGAAGTGAGTTCAAGTTCTAGATCTTTCACTTACTGCCTTTGCAAAATGGAGACAACACAATTGCCTTAGTCACTGATAGGATTAAGTGAACTGTATAGTAAATCACTTAGTAGGGTACTGGGCAATAATTTTTTCCTTTCTAAAAATAAACATGAGTATAATGAATAAAATGAACTTGGCCCCTGAACTCATAGAGCTTAAAAGTTTATTGGAGGAAATAGATAGTAAGCAAGTAAACAACTAAATATATGGTTACAAATACAATGTGCAGTAATGAAAGATATTTAGGTGGTGGGCAGATAAGCCTACTGTTGTGGCTGTGACCAGATGTCACCCCAAAGCCTCATGCAATCTTTTTCAAAGGTGGCTGAATCTAGAGTGTGTGATGCTAGGATTAAGGGCGTGTGATTACTAAACCACTATCTGTGAGTGAGTGGTTTGGTACCACCGTAATCCCATGGACTGGATGGGACAAAGGGGGCAGAGAGACACTGTTAAGGCCTCTCTTGACTTTTGCTGTCTTCCATTGCCATGAACTGTTGCCCCTCTGCCACCCTGCCTTGGAGCCAGCTGATTATGTAGTGAAACCTCTATGAACTGTGAGCTAAATAAACCTTTCCCCCTTTGACTTTGGGTGTCAGGTATTTTTGTCTCCACCACAAGAGAAAAGTAATTAGCACAACCTACCTAGATGTGGTAGTCAGGAAGACCAAAAAAGAAGTGAATACTAACGTAGAAGTCTAGGATACAGAAATATCTTTCTTTTTACTGTTTTATATAATATAAATATATTATTTACAACAAAAATTAATCATTGTATTTTAAAAGTAAAAATAGGAAAGCAGAAATAATTGAAGGAGGAATATCAGAGTCCATTTGTCTAGATTAATTAGAAGGAAAGGTTGTGTGCTGAGAATGAGGGATAGGGAGTACAAGCAAAAGCCATTCAGAGTGAGATAAAAGTCTGAAATATTCACGAAGGAAGAAGAGAGAAGTAAAATGATTAACAGCAGTGCCGAAGGCCCAGTGAGAAAGGTGTTATCATACATTGCATTCACACCAGTCTCCTCAGTTGTCTATTTCTCTGCAGCTGTATTTAGAAGCTCTGGTGTACAAGTGAGACCATGAGATTTATCTTTGCTTGAAGCTCCCCAGGACTGAGTAGAAGAAAAGATGACTGAGGCAATAAAGATTCTGTCTGCAGAGTAGTTGAAGTGATGAACCATGGGTTTGTTTGAGCTGAGTAACAAATGAGTCGCTGTCACGCAGATCTCATGGACTCAGAAATGTGGAGAGTTCAAGGAAGAGTACACTCTGTACAAAGTGTGTGGTGGACTATATCTTTTAATGCTATGGAAAGTATTTCAGTTTTTTACTTTTATCAAACAACACTGCATAAGTTTTTAGTACTAAACAAGTACTGGTAGAGAAAAACATTTTAAATTTAAAAAGACTTGATTCCTGAACATGTCACAGGAATTTTTCAGTTAAAGTCAACTTTCTGCTCCTTTGTATAAATGTCACTTGAAAAATATCTGTAAGCTTACTGATGTCACCGGTAAAAGTACTGTTTTAATGAGAATTTTTCATATTTCAGGTCTAGAAGATGAACAAACCCATAACACCATCTACATATGTGCGCTGCCTCAATGTTGGACTAATTAGAAAACTGTCCGATTTTATTGATCCTCAGGAAGGGTGGAAGAAATTAGCTGTAGCTATTAAAAAACCATCTGGTGATGATAGATACAATCAGTTTCACATAAGGTAACATGTAAAATTCTTTTTCTTTCTAAATTCTTACATCACAAGAATGATCAAGGTATAAATACTGTCTGATGTTAAAGTTTAGAGAGTGAACCTCTACTATGCAGGTAAGAACAGTCAGTAATTTTTTTTTTCAAGGTTTGCCTACTATCCAGCTTGTCAGCTAAACTAATACTGTGACCTTGCAATTTAGTTTTTAAGTTAGAGTCAAGATTCCCACTTACGTATAGAACCAGGGATTTAGCTCAGTGGTGCCACTGGCTGCCTCTTAAATGGAAGGTCCCCAGTTCAATCCCCGATACCAAAAAAAAAAAAAAAAAAAAAAAAAAAAAAAATTCTACATGTAAATGTAATTCACCCTTAACAATGTCTTTTGGAAATTCTTCAAGTTGACATTTTATGGTTGTTGCTTGTCAGTGTATATGTCTACAAACAGACTTGTTAAATCTTAGCCAGGATTTTTCAACATCATCTGGATAATTTTCTTTCTTTCTATTTCTGCTTGATTTAGTGTAAAATATAATCAGAGATTTTATTTTTGTCAGTAATTGAAGTTAAAACTTGTGTCAAAATTTGTCTAATAACAATAGGGAAAATTTTTATAACTCTAATCTGGCAAAGAACCTAAAGTCTTGGCACTTATATTAGTACTTCCAAAAAATATTACCATATATGAAGGGTAAATATCTTGAATTACTTGGGAGATGCTCAAATTTAAAACTTGAAAGCCAATTTTTAAAGATTACTATTACTATTAAAACTTACAGAGAATAGTTGCAGCATCAGTGTGAGGAAGAAAAAGAGTTGTTCTTTATAGAATAATGCCAGTGAATAATGATTAGAATAATGTTAGAATGAAGAAGTTGCCAATTTACAATCACCAGTGCACAATTGGTTCATGCAAAGATCACCGGTAGGCCTAAGATGTTGCTGATGAACAGGATATGCACAAGATTTTAAAGTATTACCCACAAATTTCTTATGAATTAGAAAGGGCAAAGTTTCTTTTACAATGAAGAAATCTGAAATACACCCTTTTAACTAAGTGATCAAACTTAGTGTCACCAGTAATACATGATGCCATTTTGTGCCTCTGGATATAATACAGTTGGAAGATCACATTGTCTTCTGTGTAGTTTTCTTGCCAAAAATTTTAATCTGCATTTGATCAGGAAGAAGTAGTTGGGTAAATATAGACAGTGGGAATGGTGGGTGGCAGGGGAGAGTGAGAGAAAGAAAACAAATTACCGCTTAGAAAATTGGTGAGTGTAGATAAAGGTTAAATGACTGTTCATTGTACATGCTTCCAACTTTCTTGCAAGACTGAATTTTTTTCAAATAAAAAATTTGAAGGAAAAACACTCCAAGCTCTGTTGGTGAAGTTCTTAAGTGTTACTTTTTTAAAGAAATGGAATGACAAAAGGATCTGTTTTTCTTTCAGTTTAATTAAATGTAGTTGTGATCAAAGGCATAATTCCCTAAGCTCATGTATAGTCTATTTAAGCCAGCCATTTTATTAAAAATTATATAGCTAACATAGTTAATAAGTCAAATAGAAAGTAATACAGCTAAGTAAGTGAAGAGCACATTCTTAATGTCAAGAGAGATCTGAATTTAGATCTTGACTTGGAATCACCTTATTGTCTGTGTGGTTCTGCCCCACTCCCCAGCGCACCAAGCCTGGCTCTTTCATTAGTAAATCAGTACACTAATAAAGTAGCTTTATGGGAGTTCATATTTGTGCATCCTATAGCTCACTGCATAAAGACTTATTAAGTACTCAGTAAATACCAACTTTTATTATTGTCTTGAGCATCTTTTTTTCCTTCTGCTTGTCTTTTCTGCCTCCCTATACTTCTTGCTAGTTTTCTTCTGCTGTCCTTTTCCTTTAATATTATATACATTTATTATATATATAATATATATTATATATATTTAATATTATAGAAGGTGCTACGAACAACACAGGGTCAGAGGGAATTCATTCCTATTTTCATATGAACTCATTATATCCTAACTTCGTTTCTTTGTTTCTTGCTTTTAAGGAGATTCGAAGCATTAGTTCAAACTGGAAAAAGCCCCACTTCTGAATTACTGTTTGACTGGGGTACCACAAATTGCACAGTTGGTGATCTTGTGGATATTTTGATCCAAAATGAGCTTTTTGCTCCTGCAAGTCTTTTGCTGCCAGGTAAACTGGGTGTGGCAAGATGTCAACAGTTAGTTTAGAAAGATAAAAACGAGAAATAGAAGTTCCTTTTTTATCCTAATAGACAAACCTGACACTTGTGTGCCTTTATTCTTTCAGTCCCCTTCCCCACCTTTTTACCAAACAACTGAGATAGAGGACTGTGCTTGCTGCTAAGGTGATGGAAGTTTCATAATTGAATCTGATCCACCATTAAGGTCCAGATGACTTGGGGCCAGGAGGAAGTTTAGGTGAACATAAACCCCAGATATGTCGTGTGAGCTAGAAGAAATTAGTTACTCTTTTGAGCTCTTTTTTTTTTTCAGCTTTAATTGAGTTTATTGGTACATTTTAGGGATTCAGTACAGTTACATTCATTGTTGGGAATTTGTACCTCTACATGACATGTCTTGGTTCTCATTTTTTCCCCTTGTCCCTACCCTCCCTTCACCCCCTCCTCCCCTCTTGAGCTCTTTTTTTACACCTTCATTTTACACACTGATAGGGCTCTGTGGTCATGATTTCCTCATATTGCATTCTGGTATGTTAGGGCCTAGCTGTCTTCCACATAACCTTACTTTTTTCCCCCTTGATGTTTTTTACACCAGTAATTCCCAGCCTTTATTGTACATAAGAATCTTTAAGTGTTCTTGTTAAATATTCAGATTCCCAGGCCTCTTCCAATCTATTGAACTAGGTTTCTGGAATTAGGTTCAAGAACTGTTCTTAAGTATTTCAGTGCTTATGATGCAATTGTTCATGAACCGCTTTTTGTGAATGCTGCCTTAATCTCTCCCCATGTTGATCACAACTGACACATTTTTTACTAGATGGCTTCTTCTGTGTTATGAGAAGATGGGGCCAACCTGTGCATACAGAAATGTTGTTAAATGAACTGAGTTCCTGGTTTAACTTTTTCACAAATACTTTTGCTATGTGAAGACAACTTGTATCTTACTCCATTGGCAGATGCTGTTCCCAAACCTGTTAATACTTTACCATCTAAAGAAGCTGTAACAGTTCAGCAGAATCACATGCCTTTCTATGAAAAAGGAAGCACACCTCTAACACCTGTGCAGAATCTTGACCAAAGCCATATCACACTTGATTCAAGTCCAGAAAATAAAAGTTTAGATGTTAGTGATACACGTAAGTAACATTTTTAGTGCTTTCCTCTAATGGATTTGTCATTAAGATAATCACTGTTAAAAAATTAATCTCTTCTTTTGTTTTTTTTAGCAATCAGAAGCACACTGGCAATAGCTCTTGTGGGGTTTTTCCTCTGATTTATTGTTTTATTTTCACTGCATTAACCATCATGACATGCAGACAACTCAGAAGCTAAGAAAAAATAAGTAAATGTTTATGTAACCTGCAAGAGTCCTTTTTTAAAAAAAGAAAATATGACCGGAGAGTTTGGGTGGGTGGACTGCACTCACCAATAATATTGTTAAAATTTTGGGCGGGTGATTATACACAGTATTTGACGGATGATACCACCAAACAGAATTCTCACCATAAAAGTCACAATTTGCATTTTAAAAATGGATTAACCCTCTTCTATCTTGCTTCATCCAAAGTTACATTTGCAGATAGTACCTCCGTACATGTATGCATATATATATATATATATATATAATGAAGTCCTCAAAGTGAGAAAGTATCAAAATTATTACAACCAATTTCCTTTATATTTAAACATTTTTCCTCATTTTATTGACATTATAGGTTTTCATTGTTTTTCATTTTATGAATTGAAGAGTGTCACAAATGACTTTGATGAACGACCTATTTCTCTTGGTGGCAATAAAATGGGAGAGGGAGGATTTGGAGTTGTGTATAAAGGCTGTGTGAACAACACAACTGTGGCTGTGAAGAAGCTTGCAGCAGTAAGTTATGTTTTTGGGAATGAGTGAAACAGTTATTTCCTAAATCATAATGTAATCATTATTTCAGGATGTGCTTTCTTTAAATACTCTACTAAGATGATAGTTCTTAACATTTAAAAATCAGTTGAGAGTTATAAACCCCATCACAGAAAAGTGTAGTCATGCACGCATACTTACATTCAGATAATTTTGAGAGATTCACAAAATAAAGTTGAGGTCTCTTCCACACACTGCCTCAAGTACAAACAAGATTAAAATAGTAACAATACTAAGCAAAAATTTATTTAAGTGTATTTGCATTACTTTTCTCATTTAAAAATAAAGTACGGAAAACACACATTAAGAGATAAAAAAAATTCCATCTCTTTTTTTCTCATTTCCGTTGTTTTTCACTTTATACTTGGTGATTTGTTATAGTGTAAGCCTCTTATATTGTAAGTCACTTTTGTCATATATGTTGCAAATGCTTTCTCAGGTTTTGATTTTCTTTTTGCATTCAAATTTGCTTTGTCTTCTACAGATTTTTTCCCAAAAATTTTCTGTGCAAGTGAAATTTTGTATTATTTTGCTCCTAAAACAATTCAGTGAGTTTCATATTTTTTTCCATTCACTAACAAACCATGGAATTTGAGTGAATCATTCGTAGTTCTAGATCTCTATTAAAATGAGAATAATACCTGATTATATTAAAGAAAGCAGATCATTTCTTTTTCTCTTGAGCCCAGAGCTTTAGGAACTATAAGATTACCATATTATATAGTATTATGTGTTACTTTTTTTCAGATGGTTGACATTAGCACTGAAGAACTGAAACAACAGTTTGATCAAGAAATACAAGTAATGGCAAAGTAAGTGCTAATTTTGCAGTGTGGTGTAGGGAAAAAGAAAGAGACAAGGTATAAGATTCTGGTTTCCTACCTAAAATGTGCCTTGAACTAGGGATATTTGCAAATACAGATGTATAATGTTTTTGTTGTTGTTGTTGTTTGGTACCAGGGATTGGGGAGCTTGTATTTGTGAAGCAGGCGGTGGAACCACTGAGCTAAATCCCTGGTCCTGCCTGCATGTTAATAGCAGTTAGTATTTTAAGTCACAGAAATGTTACATGGAATTTCAGTTATCTTCAGGTATCATGTTTTCTATTCCCAGAATTCATGAGAAATCAATTGTAGTGGTGCTTAAAAAAGAAAAAAACTGTAGAACAATAGGTCCTTAGGTAAGGCAACACTTGTAACTAGAGAAATATTATATGCAAAGATGTTCAGAAGGCATTTACCCACAATACTGAGGTATTAATCATCAGGAGGAAGGGTAGGGAAGTCAAATCAGGAAATTTATTTTAGTAATTATAGTGATTAATATTTGATTACATATGCAGACACTGTGCTGTGTACTCTGTCCATTTAATCATTTAATCACCTCAACAACTGATATAACCTCCTTTTTTAAACTAAAATTTAGAAACATAAATAACTTGCCCAGGGTCACATACCAGTAATGTTAGAGATGGAATTCAAATCCAGATGTGATATTAGAATTTAAGCTTTTGATCTGAATCCTGATAGGATATTTCAAATCACAGCCATGAGGCCATTACTGTATATTATCACTCCTAATTACATAACCTTAAGAAACAATTAATGGCCTGGAATTTATTTGCCTCCATAAAAATAATATACACCGTAAGAAGATTAAAACTCTTTTTTTTCAGGCTTTGTGTTCCCTATCTCCAGTTGCCAAATCTAAGAGTAACTTGTTAAAAGTAGATAATCTGGGAAACACAGGAAAATAAGTTTTAAACAATAAAAACCATCTCTTGAATACTCAGAGATATTCACTAACAGTTTGATGTGCTTGCTTCAAGATGTGTATGTGGCATTTTCCCATGTCATTAAAAATAGTTTGAAAACATTTAAAATTATGTATAACATTCTAGCATAGATGAAAATCATATTTTACTAACCCTACTAAGTTTTTCTAATCTAATTTTCAGTATTAAAAATTAAAGGTCCTTTAAAGTTACTTATGTATAAATCATTAAACCCACTTCTTATTTCATCGAGATATAGTCCTAGGCAAAGGTGATTAGGTCAGAATTCATGAACTTTCAAAGACTTTCCAAATATATGTTCAGACTGCTTCACAGATAATTAGTGGTAATTTACTACCACTGACTGATCCCAGAGCCACGCACATACTAAGCATATGCTCTGCCACTGAGCTATACACCCAGCACCAAATTATAGTAACTTATATTCCTGGCATCAGTGTATTATAATTTCAAGTTTCCCTACTACCTTGTCACCACTGGAGACATTTTACCATTTTTTAACCAGTGCCAGTCTCTGGACCTTACTTGCAGAATAACCCTGAGCAAGTTTCTTAACTTTGCCCGTTAGTTTTCTCATCTGTAGAAGGGGATAGTTGTATTCTATTTTGAAGATGAAATAAAGCAGACAAATTGTGAAAGTACCTCATAGATAATATATGCAGAAAATGTTAACTACTCATATTTAAATTATGGCCATTTGGTATAAAATGGAGCACTTACTACTTCAATTCATACTTCTGAAAATATGTAGGTAGTTAGAGGAAGTCTGATTTGGTAAAAAGTATCACCAGAAATGTAGATTTTTTTTTTTCTGAGTGAACAGAACAAATAAGCACAGGGTGGATCACTTATCACGTGTCTGGTGTGTTTCTACACTCACATATGTTTGCTCATTTAATTGTTGTAGTGTCCATATGATCTAGCAGGTAATATTTTCTAAACTGGGAAGATAAAGGAGCAAATACTCAGTGAGGTTGTTAACTGGCCGTAGGTTGCATATCCCAGGAGCAGCGGAAGATAGACTTTTCAGTTTAAGCCTTTACACACTGAACCCTGCTATCCAACAGATGCCTGCAGTTGTGTTATACTGCATCTCTTTAGTTCTCACATGTGGTTAAAAAGTCTCATTCAGTTGGCTATCAAATAGAGGTTTTGCTTCTAACGTTGACCAATATTACTGAAAAAAGCTACAGAAAATGATAATTATGATAAACATGTAAGCATAAACATGTACCACATCATAAATGATCTGTAACATTCTTTTGCTTTTTTCCTCTCAATTGAATAATTTTTATAACCTGCAGCTGAATGTATGTTCACGACAGTAATCATGCATGCAAAATTATTTGTCACAGGTGTCAACATGAAAATCTAGTAGAACTGCTTGGTTTTTCGAGTGATGGTGATGATCTCTGTTTAGTGTATGTCTACATGCCCAATGGTTCATTGCTAGACAGACTGTCTTGCTTGGTAAGATATGTACTATAAGATATTATAAGATCATTTAACTTTTTGTTTCTATGTTGAAATACCAATATTTTGTGACAGGATCACATAAGGCATATTAAACATAATATGTTTTCTGTTTTTTGAAAATTGACCATTTTTATGGAAACCACTGGGATTGCCAGTAAGAATCTAAAACATAAAACTATCAGTCAAGCCTAGACTTTGAAGTTGCTCATTTATGTTTTTATCTTCAAATAATAAGTGTTAATCCCTGTTTGATCTTATTTAGAATTTGTTTTTATCAATTTAAAAGAATTACAGTCCTAAATTCTTAGTGACATAATATCATTTTCAGTTGTTGCCTAGAAAAATACTGATATATATATTTCTCTACAGATCTTTTCTTATCCTCTCTTTTTTCTAAATTGGTTTATTTCTTCATAAGGATGGTACTCCACCACTTTCTTGGCACATGAGATGCAAGATTGCTCAGGGTGCAGCTAATGGCATCAGTTTTTTACACGAAAACCATCATATTCATAGAGATATTAAAAGGTAAATGCTACTGTGAAAAAGTTTTTGGAAAAGCCATCTTTAAAGAATAATTTGCTCTCACTCTTTTGATTTGCTATCCATGTACATGTCTTAACTTAGAGCAGCTAGACGTTTTTCCCCATGACTCCATGAAAGTTCTTCTCTTTAAGGACATTTGTAATCTTCTCCTCTATTCTAAGCCCGCCGACCTGTTTCCAGTAATCCTCGTACTTGACTTTTTTCTTATTGCCTGTGAAAATTTGTTTCTTTCTTGGCTTCTGCATTACAACTGTTTTCTGAATCACCATCATCTTCTGTTAAGTTCTTCTCAGACTATACATGAAGCAGTATATGTAGAGTCTGATATCATTCAAATCACAAAATAGTAGTAAAATGTAGTGTTATTATAGAGACCAGCTCCCAAGGAAGTGATATCTAAGCTGCGATCCAAAGAAATAAGCAGGCAATAAGTAGGCATGACTATGGAGGATGACTATAGAAGAGGAGTGGAAAAACACTGTAGGCTGAGGAACCATGTTTGTAAGACCATAGTGAGAGAGAATACGGGAATGAGATCGGTTACAAGAAGGGAAATAAATGTAGTAAGAATGATGTTCACAAAGTGAGGAGGTGAAATAAATGAAACAGATAGGAGGGAGCTTAGTCCTGTGGGACCTGGTAGACCAAAGCGAGGATTTTAGTTTTATTATAAGTACAGTGAAATGCTGTTGAAGAAGTAAAATGTGGCATCGTATTTAAATTTTGAAATGAGCTCATGGACTCCAGTGTAGAGAACAGCTTGTAAGAAGAGGTAGTAGGCTATCATAGCTGTCTTACTGGTGGCAATTCATGTGAAGAGATTTGAGCTGCTTTGAGATTAAGGTGGTAGGATGTGCTGATACCTTGGTTATGGGTAGATCAGGGAGAGGAAAATATCAGGGATGATCTCTGGAACTATGACATGAGTTTGGCCTGAATCACTTTACACAGAAAAGGGTAGGGGTAGAAAATGTGTATTTTATTTTATACATGTTATGTGTTCATTTCTTTTAAGATATGAGAGTGGAGATGTTAGACAGTGTTAAATACAGATTTGGAGCTGAAAGAAGTCTGAGCTGAAGATATAAATGTGCATATTATGTACATTTGATAATTGAGTTATATAATTGTAGCTACTTAAAGGTTAAGAAAAATGCCCAAGATTAAAGCTTACAGAACCCCAAGACTTACGGTGAAGTAGAAAAGAATAATCCAAAAAAGAAATCTAAGAAGTACACATGCACAGAGGTAAGATGGGGAGAATGCAGGGGGGTCAAAAGCTTCAGCCCCTGGATTAGCATCGTGAAGGTCATTAATGACTTTATAGAGACCCATTTCTGTGTGGTAGTTAAGTCAGAAGTCAGGTTGTAGTTGAGGACAAAGTAGGAGCTTTGGAAAACTGGAATTTGCAAACAGACAGGTCTTTAAGATACTTTGCTACTAAAGTGTGATACCTGGAAATAAATGTGTCGTTACAGAAACAGTTTTTAAGATGACAGAGATTATTTCATGCTCATATGGGGATGGATCCAGATTAGAAGGACAGAACAGAGTAGAGGACAGGAGTGAACTAAGTCATAAAGGAAGGTTTCTGGGAATGCAGGAAGGATCCCAAGCAAAGGGACTAACTGAGGAAAGGATGAAAAATATCACTATCCCTTCCGTTACTGGTATTTTCTCATGTTTTTGCCTCAATATGTCTTCTGTTCTACATGTTCTTGCTGAATGATATGTCGATATGAACTGCTACCCGTATGAGGGTGACTCAAATCTGTATCATCAGCTGAGTCCTATTTTCAGTATCCTAAACCAAACACCTCACCTGGATGGCCTCCAAGCCTGTACCTCAGAAATCAAATCCATCATCTCTTCAAGTCTTTTTCCTCTATTTTCTTTCTGATAAAAAAAAGTCACTATTCACTCTGTCTCCCATACTTCAGTCTTTCTTATTCTCTATGTCCCTTGCAAAGTTCTGTTAGGTGTACCCGAAAATATGCACTTTGCATTTACACCCAGTGTTCTGTCTCTGTTTAAGAGTTCATTGTTTTTGCTGGCTTCATTATAAACCTTCTAGTCAACCTAAAACTAATCTGTACCACTTCTCATCTGTTCCCTACAACACTGCCAGGCTACAGTCCTCAAGTCCAGTCACATCAGTTACCTTCAATGAAAACTTCAGATAGTCCTATCTCTCAGAGGATAGAGTTCAGATTCTCTCCATGTTCTTTGGACACCACTTTCTCGAGGTGGATCATATATATCGTGCATTTTCATGTCTTTTCATCACTTTGTGCAAAGTGATGTTGGTCCATTTGCCTGATGTGCCTTTTTTTCCATCATCTAACTATGAATTTCTAATGATCCTCAAGACTAAAGCCTACTTCTCACTACCTTTTTTCTCAGTTCTTGCAGGCACATGATTGTTCTCAGCTTTTTATCCCTATTACCGTCATATAGTACTTAACTAATTTTTTAGAAATTACTCATAAGTATTTGTCACAGACAAGGTCCTAGGCTTTCCCCTATATTTAGCTCTGAGTTTAAATACTACAATACATGTGGAGCTTAGTAAGCTTTTGTTGAATGTATAAATGTATGCATATAATGAATAAATTAAGATCTTTTAGCCATAATCTTTCCTCTTCACGAGATTCCAGATGGCACAGAGAAAAAACACCTGAAGAATTAAATAAATGAGGTATTTTGGAAATATGTTTTTAAATAAATTGAAAAAATTTAGGAAAGAAATTAAGGATGGCACTTTTGGCATATTTCAAACCAGTCATTAAAAAAAAATACCAAATGTTCTCAATCTTACAGAAGAATAGAATAGAACAGAGCAGAACCGAAAAATAGCATAGAATAATATAGAATATTGGACAAACGTTGGGAAATAGGGTCACCCAAGCATAGTTGGAGTGCCTGGAACACTTCTGCTGCTGCTTTAGCACAGTAGGATGGCTATAGGTTAAAATAACATAAGGACATACCTGAAAATGACCAGAACAGTATGAATATTGCCGTACATAAAGATTATTGTTTAAGAAGATAGACTTTTCACCCTATTTCATGTATTACATTGTATACATGTATTGAATTACCATAATGCACAAATATTATGTCTTAATAAAAATAAGTAGATAAAATTTAAAAAGAAAAAGAATAGTACTTTTGAGCCAAGGCTGTGGCTCAGTGCTAAAGCACTTGCCTAGCATGCAGAAGCCCTGAATTCAATCCCTACTAGAAGGGAGGGAGGGAGGGAGGAAGAAGAGAGAAAGGAAAAAGAGAAAAAGGGTGAAGGGAGGGAGAAAAAAGGAAGGGAAAGGAAAGAAGGGAAGGGAGAGAAGGAAATGAAAGAGAAAGAAGGAAGACAGAAAGAAAAAGAAAAATGATACTTTGGAAGACTTTGTAGAAAATTACCCTATAAAAAGTTATTTGTAGGATAATAGAAGTAGCTCTCTTGTTTAGAAAGCTTTATTTTAGTTTTACACTTATAAATGTTCTTTAAGAAACAAAAAGAAAAAACAATCATTTTCTTTAGCTCTAGTGTGAATTCTAGATTTATTTACACAAATTTTAGATTTTTAGGACATTTACTATAAAGTATCAGACAGTATCAATATATATGAAAAGAAAACATTTCTTCAAAATTTGAATGTTTTCAGTGCAAATATCTTATTAGATGAAGACTTCACTGCCAAGATATCTGATTTTGGGCTTGCACGGGCTTCTGAGAAGTTTGCCCAGACAGTCATGACCAGCAGGATTGTGGGCACCACAGCTTACATGGCACCCGAAGCTCTGCGAGGAGAAATAACACCCAAGTCCGACATCTATAGCTTTGGTGTGGTGAGTTACCTGCAGTAACCATCCTTCTACAGTTGTGAAATCAAAGTAGAATATTTTAATGCTTTAATACTTTTCTTGCTTAGTTCTCATATATATTTTTTTTTTCACTTTAACCTTTAGTTATACCAGAAAGTTTGTAAGAACTCCCAGTGTGTAAAAAATTTTAGTTGATTTCTGAAATTACTGAGGAAAATGATTTTGTTGTCACCTAGCCTCATGAAGTAGGATGAAGCTTAAACAAAAGCATAAAATGACATCATATAATACATACTTTAGTCTCTGTTTTGTTTTTTTTTTAAGATTTTCTGATCTCAGTCTTTTCTAAACATTTTTGAGATAAAAGAGTAACTGTGAGTACTTGGAGAAGTTGGAAGCTTTTTAATTCATCTTGTTTTTTCATGTATGTTTCATGTATAGAAATTTGACTTCGTTGCACTGTCAAGTAAAGTCACAATGTTGCAGAATATGCCAAACGTTTAGAAAATAATGTTCTCCCAGAAGACAGAGGAAATTATTCTTGTGAAAAATCCCCTACAAGAGAGGAAAGGGATTGAGTTTCCAGAATACATGTTGAGCGGAGCTAGTTCTTTAGCAAGTTGTCAGTGGAAAGGAATGTTTGTGGACATGATGGGCTCCACGGAGCCTGGGAAGGAAAGGTGATGAGAAGTACTCCCAGCTCATGCTCTTCCGTGTTAAGACCTAAAAGCCATGCTAAGACCTAAAAGCCATGTGATTTGTGCAGAAACTATTCATCAGAGTTCAGAATCAAGTTCCAACTTGCTGGGCTAGGGGCATAACTCAAGGTTCGATCCTTGGCACCACAAAATTTTCAAAAATCCCATTTTCCTTTTGGTTTCTATATGTTGTCTTAAGTGTTGTATGAGTGGATTTCTTTTTCTTTGTAGGTTTTATTGGAAATAATAACTGGACTTCCAGCTGTGGATGAAAACCGTGAACCTCAATTATTAGTAAGCAAAAGATTCGTGTTTTTCTCTCTTCTCTTTTGCATTAATAGTCTTTATACATATGGGTAACTTTGGCATCTGGAAACGCATCCAAAAGCATATCAAGAATTTTCCGTCAGCTGTGTTTTTCACTGACTATATATAATTATAT